CAAGTCTGCTGGCACAAAATGGCTGCTGGCCAAAAGACCCAGGGGAAGCAATGCTTCCCCTAGGTCTTAGTGTTCAATCGCTCCCCATTTCCTATCCCTGCACTCACTTTTAAAGGCATGCTGTTTTATTTTAATTTTTTTAAGACTGAGGTCCTATGGATCAGGAGTCCGTCTGTGTGTGAATGTGGCATGGCACCTGTTCTAGACGGGGTTACTCTCCCTCTGAAAGAACAGGTACGCAGCTTGGGAGACCTCCTGGACCCTTTTTTAACATTTGCCAGCTGCGACCCTTACTGAACAAACATGACTTGGCCACAGTGATCCATGCTCTTGTTACATCCCGACTGGATTACTGTAATGCACTTTATGTACGACTGCCTCTAAAGAGCCTTCGGAAACTTCAACTGGTCCAGAATGCAGCTGCTCGAGTTTTAACCAACACTAGTTATACAGAGCACGTTATGCCAGTGCTTCAGCAGCTGCACTGGCTTCCGGTATGTTTCCGGGCACAATTTAAGGTTATAGTTATGACCTATAAAGCCTTAAATGAGTTGGGTCCAGGGTATCTGAAGGACCGTCTTCTCCCATATGAACCTACCCAGGGATTGAGGTCAGCTGGGGAGGCTTTGCTTCGTGTTCCCCCACTTGTGGAGATAAGATTAACATCTAAGAGCATTCTCAGCTTTTGCTCCCAGGCTGTGGAATTCTCTTCCTCGGGATATTCACATGGCACCACCGCTAGCGTTAGTCCGGTGTCAGGCTAAAGCCACCCTCGTCTGTATGTGTGTGTTCTTCCTCTCTATATGTTTTTAGCTGGTTATGTCCCTCTGAGGTCTCATATTTTAAATTTTTATATATAGTATTTTAAATAGAAAGGCGGAGTAAAAATATTTAAATAAATAAATACCTTTCTCAAAAATCAAAAAGGGGGCGTGATGCCGAAAAGTTTGGGAATCACTGTACTAGAGGATATCCCCATCTGGAGCAAGACTGTGTGACAAGTGAGATATAGTGTGGTGCATGCACAATACTAGTAGTCGGTTCAGGGCATTTGTCAGCAAGCCAAAGATTTGTGAACCAAACACAAAAGGGAAAACAGCAGTTTTCAACTAGTGCACAGACGATTAGGGTCTGGGACATGGGCAATCAAATAGTCAGAGCACGAGTTGCAGTGGAGGGGTGTCAGAGGCCAGCTCTCAGAGCCAAGTCAAGCTAGAATCAGAGCCAGACTGCAGAACTGAGTCATCAGGAATAGAGAAGGCCAGAGAAGGGCTGGGTCCAAGGTTTGGGAGGGACTGGAACAAGGCAGGAAAAGGAGCTAGTGCAACTGGAGGCAAATGCTTTAAGTAGCCAGAGCCTGCTGCTGGGCTTACGAGCAAGTCTGCCAGTTCCCTCGGCCATCTGAGTGCTTGGACCACGGGTTCAATTGGGGTTTTGCTAGAAGGGAAGCAGGCCAGTT